CCTGCACCCGCATGGGAGACCAGGAGGAAGTGCCTGGCTCCTGGCTTTGGATCGGCGCAGCACGCTGGCCGTAGCATGCCAGCCATAGCAGCCATTTGGGGAGTGAAACAATGGAAGGAAGACCTTTCTCTCTCTCTCTGTCTATAACTCTACCTGTCAAAAAAAAAATAAAAAAAAAAGATGAAAGCTGTGGGAAATTTACTACCCTACTCCCTCCAACCACATCAGGGAATTTAATGCTTGGGATTATCCAGTAATATGTACTAAACTTCCTTCATGGTAAAATACGTATCTTTTTACTTTATTGAATGCTTCATCTGTTTAGATACACTTTTGTGGATGTCATTATCTTAGTTCATTTGGGTTTCTGTAACAAAACACTACACACTGGGTAGCTTGTCCACAACAGAATTTTATTTATTTATTTTTTTCTGACAGGCAGAGTTAGACAGTGAGAAAGAGAGAGACAGAGACTCTGAAAGGTCTTCCTTCTGCTGGTTCACCCCCAAAATGGCCACCATGGCCGGCGTGCTGCGCCGATCTGAAGGCAGGAGCCAGGTGCTTCCTCCTGGTCTCCCATGCGGGTGCAGGGCCCAAGCACTTGGGCCATCCTCCACTGCCTTCCCGGGCCACAGCAGAGAGCTGGACTGGAAGAGGAGCAACCGGGACAGAATCCGGTGCCGGCGCCGCAGGCGGAAGATCAGCCAAGTGAGCCGCACCACTGGCCCAGAATTTTATTTCTTACAGTTCTGGAGGGATTGAAGTCTGAAATCAAGCTGGCAGATTTGGTATCTATTGAGGATCCACTTCCTGGTTCATGTGTGACACCATTTCTCCATGTCCTCACATAATAGAAGGGACAAGCAGGTCTCTGAGACCTCCTTTATAAGGACATTAATCCCATTCATGATGTTTCCAATACCTCCCAATACTATCACATTAGTGATTAGGTTTCAACACATGAATATAAGGACAAAAAAACATTTGTACTATAGTATTCAAGCTTCTTGCTTGAAATATTTTAATCTTCTTTTCTCAGGGAATAGTTTAGTATTATTTAGTATTTAGCATTATTACTGAATTGTGTGTGTGTATACTAAATAGTATGTATTACACTTATTGGAGAAAATGGCCATGAAAATTATTAGATTGATGTGTATTGACCTTTTTGAAACCTTTAATTTTGTATGCTAGGAATTTGATGTGGGTTAGGCTGCATGAGTTAACATGGGCTTTTGTAGTTAATACAAAGAATACCACCTGAAATGATCAGAATTGGAGTAATGGGATATTAATAATTTAATTTAATTTCATAAACCAAATATTTCCTGTAAAGAACCAGATAATGAATAGGAGGAGAGTTTTTCAAAATGTTCATGGAAAATGTATATTCTGAAAAAAAGCTAAGCATGGATTTCAAATTTTTTGTGCTAAAATGAGCATCTTTAAATTTCATTTTTCTGTGACCTTTTGAAATACCCTCATGTTTCAGGCCTGCAGGTTTTTGCAGTGGTTCAAGTATGCTGCTGTATTGTGAACGCAGCCATAGATAATAAATTAACAGATGGGTAGGACCTTGTTCCAATGAAATTTTGTTTATCATAGCAGGTGGCAGGCTGACTTGAGTTCCCCAACTCTTGCAGCAAAATAAGAACTAGGCCTTACCCACTTAAAGAAGATTATGCCTTAATTATCTATGAACTATTTTTACTGTTATGAACAATGGAACACAAAGCACTTTTTAAAAGGAATTTATTAAAACATTAGAATCTCAGAGTCACAGTAAATGCATGATAATTGTTACAACGCATAAATTATGTTCTCATAAATTCTGATGTTAATGTGATGTTAACATAAGGAGAACTGATTCAATGAAGTTTATAGATAGAGCTCTAATCATATAATGATAATTCCTTTCTACCTTCCTTCCTTTCTTTTTTTCATCTGTCTCCTCTCTTAATTTTTGAGATAAAATTTTTAATTTACATGACAAAGAATGAATGTTCCACTAAATAGAATTTAACAAGTAAAAAGACCCTAGTTCAGCAGAAATATAGACAAAGTTGTAAACAATAATCAAATGAAAATATGAACATTTCACTCATATATAGCAAATTTTAAAATAATTACAAATCATGAAGACTATAGTAGCATATCATTTTTAAACATTGGTTTGAGAAAGATATAAAATAAAACTATTTGCAGCCATACTGGTACAGGCATTTCTCTTTTTTTATTTTTTCTTTTTAATTTTAGCTTCAACATAGAAGGGAAAACATGCAGTATTTGTCTTTATTAGTTGGTCTTATTTCACTTTCCTACAGTTGCATCCATTTTGATGCAAATGGTAGAATTTTATTTTTATTGCTGAATAATATTCCATTGTGCATGTGTATGTATATATATATACATATATATGTATATATATGTGTGTATGTATATATATATGTGTATGTATATACATATATATACATACATATATATATATATATGATGCTAACCTTGGTTGATTCCATATTTTGGCTATTGTGAACAATGCCACTGTAAACATGGTGGTACAGGTATCTCTCTGATACTTGTTGTTGTCTCTTGGATATATATCCAGAAGTGAGATTGCTGGATCATATGGAGATATATTTCTAGTTTTTGAAGAAATCTTCGTGCTGTTTTCCACAGTAGCTGCACTAATTTACATTCCTTCCAACAAGGTGTAAGAGGTCCCCTTTTTTCACATCCTTGCCAACATTTGTTGCTCTCTGTCTTTTAGATAACAGCCATTCTGTCATGGGCGAGCTGATAGCTCATTGTGATTTCGATTTTCATTTTCCTGATGGCTTCTTTGCTTAAGTTTATTCCTAAATTTTTAATTTTTGTGGCTATTGTGAATAGGATTTCTTTTTTGGTATGTTTATTTTGTAGCCTGCAACTTTACTGAATTGGTTTATCAATTCTGACGCTTTTCTTTGGTGGAGAGTTTAGGTTTTTCCATTTACAACATCATGCCATATGCAAACATGATCTTTTGATTTCTTCCAATTTTGATGTCCTTTATTTCTTTCTCCTCCCTAATTGCCCTTGCTAATACTTCCCATATGATACTGAATAAGAG